GTTTGTGTAAATCGTTCGTAAAGCTGTTCTGACGTAAATTTTCGGATTCATGAAAGTGTTCGTATTTTCAAAATGTTAGTTGGGACCAAAGAAATGTACACCTGCTCCCTGCCACGTGTAAATGGTGTGTAAAACGTTCTGTGTTCTTTTTGGCAAACTGATGACATTGAATTTTGATGCACTGCCATCATAATATTGTTAAAAAGTTTGTTTGATCTGTTTTTTTGTTTTTGTTTTTTTTTTTAGCTGAGAGTTGATAAACTGTTTAGCTTTGGGTAAAACCATAGACTGGATAAAAACATGGACGTAGTGTCCGTGACGTCACCCGTAGATTTCGATGAGCGTTTTTGAAGCTCAAAAGTGGGCGGAGCCGGCCGTCGCCATCTTGGCAGCGTGTCACCGCGCGTCACTCCCGGATAATCAAAAATGGGCAAAGAGGCGGGAGCAGGTTGCTGAAGCCACGCCCACCTAGCTCGACGGTAGTGACAGCAGCGGAAATCCACCTGTCACTCAAGTGGCCACGCCCTTAATTATGCAGAACTTTAAGGCTTAATATAATTTAAACGGATGAGTTATAAAAAAATTCACCCCCCTCACAGTTGTCGAAGAGCAAATCGAGAGCTGGAAAAACGCTGTGCCACCAAAGCATTCTCAAGCGCCACCAGCTGGTCGTTTTAAGAAGAGCGCCTGACATTTTTCAGCAGGCTAAAAACACTTTGGTGGACACACGTTATTGAATATTTATTGTTAGGCATATGGCCTATTAGTCTTTTTTGCATTTATGCAATATACTGGAGCCAAACCTGAGAAAGTAGACCAGAATATTCCACTGCGTTCCTGGACACGCAATTTGCGTAGCTGTAATTATAGGCGGGAATTATGCTAATTGTGAATGAGCGTGCACGAGCGCCCTATTTACGAATGATTGGAATTCATTAGCATACACATGTTTAACTATCAAATCGGACGTTTACGAAGCGTTTGTGAATTCGGAGGAGAGTTTTCGGGAAGGTCTGTTTTACACGCAAATTACTCAGAATTTACTCATATATTTACGAATGTTTCATGAATGAGGCCCATTGTGTTTAAACTACTACAATAGTTATGCATGAACAATCACTTTAATATGTATATGGGTCAAAATTATCGATTTTTCTTTTATGCCAAAAATAATTAGGATATTAAGTGAAGATCGTGTTCCATGAAGATATTTTGTAAATTCCCTACCGTAAATATATCAAAACGTAATTTTTGATTAGTAATATGCATTGCTAAGAACTTCATTTGGACAACTTTAAATGCAATTTTCTCAATATTTAGATTTTTTTGCACCCTCGGATTCCATATTTTCTAATAGTTGTAGCCAAATATTGTCCTATTATCCTAACAAACCATACATCAATGGAAAGCTTATTTATTCAACTTCCAGATGATGTATAAATCTCAATTTTAAAAAATTTACCCTTATGACTGGTTTTGTGCTCCAGGGTCACAAATGATGAAGAGAAGGCGAAACGGAGATACATCTAAATTTTGAATGATTTAAGGTTTATCTCTGTGAAATAAGACAACCTGAAGCCACTGTTGATAAGATACATCAGGCTGATTTTCATTCACACTGTTGTAAAAATAAATTGCTATTAAAGGGGTCATATGATGCGAACTCTACATGAAGTCTCAAATCCAAAGAGATATTCTTTATAAAAGTGTTCGGCCAATCACAATGCACTGGTTCAGCTGGCCAATCAGAGCAGACTGTGCTTGTCAAAGGAGGGGGCTTTGTTGAAAGCGACGTGTTTGAGAGAGGCGGGGCATAGAGGACCTACAATAATGTACAGTATTTGAAAAATAATGTGTTTTTTGAACATTAAAGTGTATATAATGCTAACATAATGCTAACAATAAAGCATGTCAACATATTCTGTTACACCAAATACACAAAATAATGATCTTTAAAATAGCATCATATGACCCCTTTAAAATGATCAAAAGCAGCTGTAGATCATGTGTGTGTGTGTCAGGTTGGTGCTACTGCAGGGTGTAGTACCTGACGAGGCTGGGGTCGGGGTTGTAAGATGGGGGAGGGGTACAGTGAGAGGTGGACACTATAGACTGAGACGCATGAGCTCCATTCACATCTCCGTTCGACTGCATGTGGTGTCCACCCAGCATGTTCGTACCTGCAGCCACAAACCCACGAGAACCAGTCAACACACACAAATCAACAGATGAGCATCACATGGGATTTAGCGAAGTTAATATGAGCCACTGTCGGTGCAGATGTCATTGGTAGTGTCTCGCTTTTTATTCAGTGAAAGCAAATCAAATCAAACAGGTGCTCTTGTGAAAAACAAGTGCGCTTAATTGTATTGAATATGCACTTGTAGTGTACTTCAAATCTTAATAGTACAGTTTTAAAGAGGTGTATTTGCAGATAATATAATATTACTGAAATAAAAGGACACTTAAGTGTACTTAAAGAGAGACACTTTCATGTTTCTTAGCACACTTTTAAAAAGTGCACTTTTGTCAAATTAGAGGTTTTACTTTAAAGCACGTTTTAAATCAATATTTTAATCATCTTTTGCCATGCTTTAAAGAAGTACACTTACATGGACACATATAAAGTACTTTATTAATTTTGAACCGTGTGTGTTTGATATTTGATATTGAAAGTTTTAATAACATTTTTATCCTGTTCTCCATTCATTTTTTCCCGTAGGGATTTTAAAAAGTCACTGAAAGTTAAAAGCTATGAACAGTGCTGGGTAGTAATGTAGTCTGGATTACGTAATCAGATTAAAAAAATTAAGTACTTGTAATTAATTATATTACATTTTAAAATGCTAATAATCAGATTACAGTTACTTTTTAATGGATTACATGATTACATATATTTTAGATCCCTTAATCCTACCCAACATCTAAATTTAACATCCTACCACCCTACTATTAATAACCAGTAATTAGGAGTTTATTGGGCCAAAAATCATAGTTACTAGTTAGTTAATAGTGAGAATTGGACCTTAAAATTAAGTGTGACCATTTAAACTATAATACATTTTAATTTCATTGCAATTAATAAGCAGTTAAGGGTCTGAAAACATTACATTCGGTGTGTGTGTGTGTGTGTGAGAGAGAGAGAGAGATGTGAAATAATGCAAACTTAAATTTCATGACCAATAAATATAGCTGCAAAATGCCCCTAATTTACAACCCATTGGCAGTTTTGTCAACAAGGTAATTGTATGAAATGTATGGTTTATATAAAGGCACTGAAATGTTGTGTAGGCTCTTACCCATATGTGACATGGACGCAGAGGGTCCTGCGCTCTGCTGAGTCTGCTGTGTCACGAGCTGATTCACTGAGGGAAGCTTGCTGATATGCCCGTGGGTCTTATTCATGTTATTGAGTGTGCTATATGAACACGGAGAGGCCACATGACTCCTGTCAATCACATGAGAGGAATATAATTAATATACGGCACTCAATGTGGAACACTGAAGTACTAGATGCTAAAGAAAGAGCTGAAAGAGGTCATATTATGAACAGCTGAATATATTTTCCTCTTGTGAAAAAACAAACGTATACGTACTGTTATTGCAGATATACTTTCACATTTACACTGCAAAGCCCCCTCCTCAGTTTACCGATCTATTTACTGAGATTAAGCTGGCTTTTATGATATTTATGAGTTCTGACAGTTATGAAATTACAGTGAACATTGACTATGTGTTCCATGTGTACTTATCAAGACCTGTATTCAGCAACTTGGCAGGTGTGACACTACCAGTGTTGGGGAAAGATACTTGTAAAAGTAATGCATTACAATATTGCGTTACTCCATAAAAAGTAACACAGTTAGTTACTTCATAATGCATTACTTAAAGTAATGCATTATGTTACTTTTGTGTCACTTTTTGTCACCTGGGCTGGGCTTGCTTATATAAAAAAAAAAGTGATACTTTTGGCAACTGTAAAGGCCCTTTCACATTAAAAGTGAAATGAATAAGCCTCTGCACCTCACTCCCGATTTCACTCAACGTGGGGACAGTCAGTGAATAAATGAGAAAACAAAGTAGCTTGCTTTACTTATTTGAAAAAGTAACTCAGGTATTTTGTTGTAAATTTAAAAGTAATGTGTTACGTTACTAGTTACTTGAAAAAGTAATCTGATTACTTTACTCTAGTCTTCAGTGTCACATGATGCTTCAGAAATCATTCTAATATACTCATTTGCTGCTCAAGAAACATTTCTGATTATTATCAATGTTGAAAAAAGTTGTGCTACTTCATATTTTGTGGAAACCATTTTTTTTTCAGGATTCTTTGATTAATAAAAAGTTTAAAAGAACATAATTTATTTGAAATATAAATCTTTTGTAACATTATAAATGTTTAACTCTCACTTTTGATAAACTTAATGCATCCTTGCTGAATAAAAGTGTTAATCTCTTTAAAAAACAAAAACAAATAATCGTACATTTCCAGACTCTGAATTTTTACCGTAGTGTATGATGCCTATATAAAGACTCACTGTCTCTGTAGGAGCTGCTGTTGTTGTTGTCTGTATGAATCCACTAACTGTTGTGGTACAAACTCCACAAGTTCCAAACTGTCCTTTATCTTCATCAGGATGTCAAAGTTTTCCCGGCCTCGCACCTTCAAAACAATCCAAAAATATTATAATTAACTTATATATATTGTGACGAGCGTCCCGAGGCTTCATCAGCGTCGCCCTGGAAACAAACGTTACACTGGTGGAGAACGCGGGCAAATCAGTGAAGAATCACCGACAAGCAATCTTCTTCACCTTCCCCAGCTCCACCTGTATAGATCTGCTATGGGTTATTTTATATGCTATTTGTGCAGCAGCAGTATGTCTTAAATATTGCACGCACCGTATCGCCGTATGCATTGGCAGCAGCAAGTTCCTGTCCTTGCTTTGCAGCAGCAGCAATAATCTACAACTACAGCAATAACCAACAGCAGCAGCAGCGTAGCAGATCTATTCCGCTCTATTACATATATATATATGTAAACATTAAAAGAAATCAAACTGCATGCTTCCTCACTCACTGGTATGTAATACATCTCCTCTTCTCCATGTCGCCTCTTCTTGATGTTGATGGAAGGGCCTGTAATGTTGGCTGGAGTCTGTTTGAAATCTGTGAGGTCAGAAACAGAAGCTCCCGTTATAACCACAGATAACATAACTAAGAAACTTATATTGAATATGATATGAAGAATGAAGTGCTTGTGGAAATACACTGATGGCTCACTTCGTTTATTGGCATTTCCATTTTTGTCCACACTCTCATTTAGAGCCTGTTGCTCCCTGAAATGATCCTCGTCTGCTTTACGGTCTCGACCGGGACAGGCACAAATCCGACCTTCAAATGAACGCCTGCCGAGAACCTGTCCGCTGAGCAAAAACATGGTAGAGTTTTGGTACAGCTTTAGCTTCTAGCATAACCAAACTATTCAGCCTACGTCGTGTGAATAGTTTGCATGTTGTTGTCATGCAGTTCTCAATTAAAAGAATACATTTCAATGCTCAATTCTAAGTACATTTTTGTTTACTGTTGTTGTTCTGAATCAAAACCACTTAAAGGGAAAGTTCACCCAAAATTAAAATTCTGTCATCATTTGCTCACCCAGTGGTTCCAAACTGATTTGAGCTTCTTTCTTCAGTTTCTGGTCCCCTTTGACTTCCATTCTTCCATTCCATTCTATGGAAGTCAGTTGTGACTAGCAACTGTTTAGTTACCCACATTCTTCACAATATCTTATTTTGTGTTCAGCAGAAGAAAGAAACTCCTACAGGTCTGAAACAACTCCAGGGTGAGTAAATCATGACAGAATTGTCATTTTGGATGAACTGTCCCTTTAAAAACCACACTTTTGGAAGCAGAGAAAGATTTCAGTGTATTATGTGCTGTAGAAAACTTGAATGAAAAAGTGTGTATGAAAAAAAGTAATGGTGTTCACTCACTCTCGTGTCTCCAGCGTGATGATGATGAGGATGGGTCTGCGGTTCATTCCACCGACACAACTGCTGTTGCACATGAAATTATACAGAATGGTTGTGGACTCAGTCCCCACCTTGACAAAAGAGAGACATAATCAGTTTCCAGATGCATTACATTATATTGTAAATAGAGGATATGGTACCCTTTTCAGGGGAAAATATTTGCATTGAGAAGTCTAATTCACTTTAATAAATTAATTTGAACACGGGATCCTGGGGGGGGAACACTTTACAATAAGGTTACATTTGTTAACAATACGTAACTGCTATAAATAATTGATGTTAAAAACTAACAAAGAAAATGAATTCCAAAGCATGTATTAATTTACATTAATTACATTAATTATGAATGTAGTTAATGTTAAATTCAACATTTAATAATACAATTAAAAATAATTAAATGGTATATCTATTAATATTATTTAACGGATCTGAGCTCACATGAACTAACAATGAACCATTGTGTTTTAAAGCAATAAGCCCCAAGAAGCCGTGGTTTACAGTGAATTTATAACAGCTAAGGGGCGTTGTTAAAACTTTTAGCTGTTATAAATTCACTGTAAACCACGGCTTCATGGGGCTTATTGCTTTTATAAAACGGTTATTGCATATACATAGTAAGGTTTCACTAAATAAAACAGAGCAAATAAAGTGTAATGATATTAATAAAAACAGTACCCCTTAGCTGTTGTAAATTCACTGTAAACCACGGCTTCACGGGGCTTATTGCTTTTATAAAACGGTTATTCCATATACGTAGTAAGGTTTCACAAAATAAAACGGAGCAAATAAAGTGTAATGATATTAATAAAAACAGTATTCTTCCACCAAACAATGTAGTTCCTCTGAAACAGTTGTGGTTCCAACAAAGTGGTTGCCGAGCAACAAACAAAGGTGTATGTTTGTAGAGTAATTTACAACAGCTTCGAACGCGGCTCAACCAATCAGAATCAAGGACCGGAACTCTCCGTTTTATAATTATTAACTAACGTTGACAAAAATCATTAAATACTGCAACAAATGAATTGCTCATTGTTAATTAATGATGTAACTAATTAAACGTTAATAAAAAGTTGACTAATGAGACCTTTTTGATGTTCAAGAAATCCCATTTTTTAAGCCAGTTTTAGTTAAAAACGGCTGTTTATCACTGTTTTTGTACACTTAATACATTTCATTGAATAAGTTATTAAAAAGAAACAGTTCCAAAAAGCAGTGTATTTATTGATCGAACACCAGCACTTACTGTATGAAAGCAATATGCACCTCTAGGTGGCGCCAACCATTTGATATTCAACACAAAACAAAGTGTACTACAGTGTAAAAAGAGGTGTTGTAACTGAGAATAATCTCTGGGTTATTTATAGCCAGTCAGAGCATGTTTAGCGTCCTGAACTGAATGATCACTGCATGCTTTGACTCGTCATTTTACCATCAAACAATATGTATACTTGTGCACTTATGCATATGGATCTGCAATAATTCACAATATGCTTGTTTGCTGTCAACGGGAACAAATTGTACAAAGTGTATGTGAACTAAAACAGCACTAGAACATGGTATATGAAGCATGAGAGTGAGGAACAATATGGATTTTATAAAATAAATAAATATTAACATCTAATGCTTTATTTTTCTAATATTTTATTCATATTAAAATGTATATTAAAAACCTATTAACTAAATGGTATCTCAATGACACTAAAATAACACTGGGACTTACATGCAATGATTGAACTAACCTGTGGAGCCTCATACGGAGCGAGAGCACTCTGTCGGCCCGTCACAGGATCATCCACATACTGACACAGATTATTGCCCTCCACCCGAATCAAGTGACTGGCAGGAGCTGTCTGACCTGGACAGAGTCAGCAGGACAAGAAAGATTATGAATTAGAAGTGGAAGGACAACAGGAATATTTCCTTTTGTGGCATGTGAAAGCGACCGAGTGTGAATGTGTGAGTTAGCTTTATTTTCAGTTCAAAACCTCACAAAACAATTTAGCTTTAGAATAATAGATGTATTGGAAACAAGACCCGACATTCAATGTCTCGTTTCAGAAAACAAGACAATCTTTGTTTACATTTTTACTTTAATACTCGAAAGTTATTTGGTAAATTAAATATGAGTGAATGAGCTGAAGACAAATTACTTAAAAAAAATAAATAAATACAATATCCACACTTTAATTTTTGACCATAGAGTCTAAGGTGGATTGAATTTTCAGGATGTCAATAACCAGTTTCAACATTTAGTAGGAAACCTAAGTAATATATTTAAAATATATTTATTTCATACTAAGTATAGTTCAAATCTTTTAACATATTTACTGACAGATAACTCGAGACTTACTAATATAAAAATTATAATTAAACTTTATTTGGCGTACTTGTGCACAATGCACATTTCTTAATATTAAGCCTAAAATGTGTTTTAATGTCACTGCTGATGAGGATTGTATGATATTTGAATAATATATATATATTTGAATAATATATATATTTGAAGTCTTTAAATGCTAAATATTTAAAGTGTACCTGAAGTATACTTTGAAGTATACAATCCAATATACTTTGGTATATCTTTAGTTGAACTTCAGCACTACTTCTGCACAATTAATGTGCATTAAGTACAAAATTACTGTAGTTTAGTATACCGGTTTAGTATACTAAAAGTACAATTGCAGGACATTTTATTAAGTACATAAATATGAAAATGTATTTGTAGTATACTTAGCATGATTTCAAATACATTTAAGCATATTTATTTTTCACTAGGGTAGTCTGATTTTAGTAGGCAGTTGTTTTTAGTCAAATGATGGTGGTTAGCTGTATTTCGTTCACATTCATATCAGACAGTTTATATTATAGCAGTCCACTAGTTCTGAAATGTGTTCTATTTTGCTGCATAACATGTTCAGATCCTAGAACAGATAAGTTTCACAAGTTATACAGTTTATCAGAGTACACTTTAAAAAGTTGTAACCTGAATTTGTTTGATTTTTTATCCTATATGATCTAACACTTAAAATGACTTTTGTTCATGTAACCTCATGTTATCATGTTATTAGTATAATAATATTAACTCATATTTTTGAGAAAAATAAAAACAGTTAAAGAAAATGTCACTACATCAATCACAATCTATTTTGTTAGGTTAGTGGTGTGTGTTTCAATAATGAGTTTAATGCTGCAACAGAATAAATATCATGAACACTGTTTGCTGAATGTTTGCTCTTTGCACTTTATACAATCATAAGTGTTTCCCATAAAGCTACATTATATAGTTGTCTAACTTAAATAGTACAAGTGACATCTGATCTGTCTGAAATCCTATTAGAATCAAATTCAGTGTCAGAATTAAACAAACCTAAATGTAAAACCAAAATAGCTGACTGAACCTAAGGCTGATGATACACGGGGTACATTTTTGAGCAATTTTGCCGGGCAACGTTTTTTGAGCAATGTTGCTTTGGCACTTTTCCATTGAGAATGGGTAACAAATTTCTGTCTGGATGTCTCACCTGGTTGCCCATCGATGACAACATTGCCCAAAGTTGCCCAGCATCATTACTTAAAATTAGGGCTGCACGATTATGACAAAAATCATAATTGTCGATTATTCCCTTGAAATTGTAATTGCGATTATTAATTACGATTATCACAATTTACATTGAATGATGTCTATACCATAGTTTGATGCAACTGCATGCCGTATTTTTATATGAAAATAAACAAGCTGAAAAACCTTTAGTGCTTTTCTATAGTATTAAGCCTCAAAT